GCGTGATCAAACAGATATGGGAGATGTGTCTTGGCCAGAGGTGGAGGCGTTCCTCTGTGAACACATTCAGTAACCCAGAGACGGAAATGTGAGGCTCACATAGGGAGTTTGGAGAGCCGCGCTTGAAGGTGCTTATGGGCGTAATCTTGGACAGAATAGCTGAAACCCACAGGAAGATTGAAAGCACGGGTTTCCAGACTTTAAGTACGCACGGCGAGTCCCCAATAACCTCAATGAACGACTAAGACACGTTTAGGCGGCGCCGGGGCTGGGCCGCGCACCATATTGTCATATCCCAAGCTGACCATTACCTCTTGTTTGCGACATCGGCGTATCGGCGTCCGCGAAACCTGTCTTCTTTGGAGCCTCTGAGAAGCAGAATCCAGGCATGCTTAACGCAACGACGTGAAGCTGGGGTGCTCCTCCGACTTCTGAGTCAGCAACGGCAGCATCTTGCGGGCCCTGGAACATAACGGAGTCGCATCTTAGTTCACGACTCTTGTATAGTGCGCGCAAGAACCGAAAGGCGCTCACAACCATGAACAAACAAGAGCGGCACCGCGCTCTTCTCCTCGCTCTTCTAGTGTCGGTGAAGGGTGCGCCGCATTCACAGCCCGCGTCATCAGGATCGTCTGAGCTTGAATTTCTGCTTGAGGAAGCCGAGGGCGTCGTTGGGCCGACGTTTAACGCGAAATAATGCTCATGAATGGTGAGGACGGTGATCCCGAGAACGCGTCGCGAGGAGTCACAGTCGAAGCTTTGAAGTTCAATGGCGTCGAATGCTCATCGTGGTCACGTGATTATTGATCGTGTGCCATTCTTAGTCAGCAACCGCCGCCCTTCGACAAGCGCTTATGACGTGTTTCTGCCCCTGCTACCCAACTGCTACCAAGCTCACGGAGTTAGGTGGGCTCGAACGGCTTCTCATTCTATCCATGGTTCTAGTAGAACGGCACCTCCGGTGTTCTTCAAGGCGGCAGCGGCCCTCCTGATCCATGCTGATGACGGCATGCCCAAGTCAGAAGACCCACAAGTCGCTTCTTGTTCCCAAGCGCATCTGCAGGCCGTAGGTGCTGTCGTTCGCAATGCGGCAAATCAACGCGCTAACTTCGAACCATCTCTTAAAGGGCTGCGTCTGCGTCGTCGGTAGAGTTACCCGTCGCTCCGTCCACTATGATCGTGCTCTGGATCGCGTACTCCATCATATTCTGCGCTGGTGTTGTGGCCAGAGGATCATCGTCACTTGAACAACGCGTGGCTGCTCTGAGAAGCCACGATGACTCCTGGCCATTGATGAATGTGTCTTCGTGTCCCGGTAGGTACTGGATTGATTATACCTTAAGCAGTTCCGTTTACATTGACATGCGCGAACCTGGCAGGATACACATTGTCGGATCTCGAGGAGACTGACGATGGTGTTTCCGCGCGATTGACCCTGGCCGGTTCCGCGTGCAACGCCTTCGGTCATGACGTCGCCAATCTCACATTGCGAGTCACCTACGAAACTCAATCGCGGTGAGCATGTCCGCCATGTGTCGGCGAACACAGATACTGAGATTTTGCTCCTTCCAGCCTGCATGTCAACATCTTCGACACCGCCGAACAGCAGTACACCATTCCCTCTGACGTCGTCGCCCTTCAGCCCGGCACTGGCGATGCGAGTTTTAAAAAGAACTCCGAGTTCAAATTCCACTACGACGAGAAGCCATTTGCGTTTTGGGTCACTCGTCGGGACGAACCAGACGCGCAGCCCATCTTCGACACCCGTACCAAGTCGCTTCCTCCAACGCCGATCCCGCCTGTCATTGGCAACGACACCCGCACCGCACTTGATGGCTTCCCCCTTGTTTTCGAGGACCAATATCTGCAGATCACCTCGGCCCTTCCACTCAATGCCAACATATATGGCCTCGGGGAAGTTCTCGCAAGCTTCGGCTTCAGGCGCGATATCGGTCTGGACGGAGGCGTTGGTACGATACAAACGATGTGGGCGCGCAACATTCCCGACCCGATCGACCAGAACGAGTACGGATCGCACCCTTTTTACCTCGAGCACCGCTACAACTCGACGACGCGGCGCTCGAAGACACACGGGGTCTTCCAATTCGGGTAGGTCTACTCCGCGCCCGTATAGTCCCTTCTAATACTTGTCGTCAGCGCTGCCGGCTCCGACATTCTCTTGCTCACCCCTCCCTCCTCCCCTGTCTCTCTCGTCGAGTACCGCCTACTCGGTGGCACACTCGACTTCTACTTCTTCTCCGGGCCCAGCCCGCAGAAGGTGATCGAACAGTACGGCCAGCTCATCGGGCTGCCCACGTGGCAGCCCGCGTGGGGCTTCGGCTTCCACCTCTGCCGCTGGGGATACGCCGACGTGAGCGAGACACGCGAGCAGGTGGACAAGATGCGCGAGGCGAACATCCCGTTGGAAGTCATGTGGAACGACATTGACCTTTACCACGGGCTGCGCGACTTCACGACGGACCCGTCCAGTTACCCGGGCGACGAAGTGGCCGCCTTCATCGCGACCCTCGTGCGTGACAGTCTTGCCAGGTCTTTCGCAGTGTGAATGCTTATCTTCTACAGACTGAAAACAACCAACATTACATCCCGATCGTGGACGCCGCTCTCGCGAAGTTGGTCAACGACTCTGACGTGGTAAGTCATTGACTCTCGTTTTAAGACATACGCCTTAACCTTCAATGTCTAGTACGATCCTTACACGCGAGGAACCGAGCTGTGAGCGCATACATGCACCTTTATCTCTCATCTGACAATCGATGGACAGGGATGTGTTCATGAAGAATCCAAATGGGACCGAATATCTGGGGCAGATGTGGCCCGGATACACCGTTAGTCTACGTATTTGTCTCAGAATATCCGCGCTACTTAACATCGGCACATCACAGGTTTTCGTGGACTGGTTTGCAAACAACAGTCAACTAGTGTGGAGTGAGGCTATCGCAAACTGGTCTACCAGCGTCAACTTCTCGGGCATCTGGCTGGATGTCAACGAGCCCACTTCCTTCTGCGCTGGCTCATGGTCAGTGTCGTTTAGTTTTCGCGGAAACAGACGTTCTGACATGCCACTTGCAGTGGTACGGGTGCTAATCTCTCAGCCGCTACTATCCCAACGTCTCATTTCCCTGGGGAGCCGGGAAACATGGTAACTGAATATCCGGAAGGGTATGTTCGTATGACTTTCCTCCGTTTGAAGCTGACTTCTCGCTTCAGCTACAATTCGACACTCTGGGGCCCAAGCGGGAACATTACCATCAACGGCACCTTGACGTTCGGCAACAACAGTGCGGACTTCCCTGGCGTCACCTTCCCTCCCTCGAAACGGAGCCTGGGCTCTGCCGACTTGCCAGAAGGGGACCTGAACGCGCCCCCGTACGCGATTCATAACGGTATGTCGCCCATATACATGATGCGTACTTCCTCGATTGATCGGTTGTTGTACTACCTGCGTAGGCGACCCATCCCTCGCAGACAACACGGTCTCCCCAAATGCAACGCACCAAAACGGCCTCGTCGAGTTCGACGTCCACAACCTGTGGGGTATGATGGAAGAGAAGGCGACGCACCTCGCCCTGCTCTCGCTCCGCCCGACCCTCCGTCCATTCCTCATCTCACGCTCGACCTTCCCCAGCTCCGGGCACTGGACAGGTCATTGGCTAGGCGACAACATCTCCAAGTGGCGGTACATGTACCTCAGCATCCAGGGCGTCCTCCAATTCCAGCTCTTCCAGATCCCATTCGTCGGCGCCGACACGTGCGGCTTCCAGGGCAACACGGACGAGGAGCTGTGCGGGCGGTGGATGCAGCTGTCGGCGTTCATGCCGTTCTACCGGAACCACAATGTGCGGAGCGCGCTAAGCCAGGAGCCGTACCGGTGGGACTCGGTCGCGAACGCGTCGCGAACGGCGATCACGATTCGGTACAGCATGCTTCCGTACTGGGTGAGTCCAGTGGTTTGGGTCTCTGGGTCTTCGTGGTTCTGACGATAGCGCAGTACACGCTGTTCGCGAACGCGTCGATGCACGGAACCCCTCCCGTGCGCGCGCTGTTCTTCGAGTTCCCAGACGAGCCCGAGCTCTTCTCCGTCGACCGCCAGTTCCTCATCGGCCGCGACATTCTCGTCACCCCCATTCTCACGCCCAATGTGTCCACCGTCGACGGTACGTCCTTCCTATCTGATAAATTCGTTAACTCAACTCACCCACTGCGCGCGCCACAGGCATCTTCCCGGGCCAAGGCCGCTCGACCTGGCGCGACTGGTACACGCACGAAGTCCTCAACACCTCCATCTCCACCAACACCACCCTCCCCGCGCCGCTCGGCCACATCCCCGTGCACGTCCGCGACGGCGCCGCGCTCCTGCTGCACGCGGCGCCCGCGTACACGATCGCGGAGACGCGCGCGGGCCCGTACGAGCTGCTCGTCGCGCAGGCGGCGGACGGGTACGCGTTCGGGACGGCGTATGTGGACGACGGGGAGAGCGTGCCGCCCACGCCGAACTCGACGCTCGTTGTGAAGGCGCGGACGGGGCGGGTGACGGTCGAGCGGGAGGGGACGTTCCGGATCGAGCAGAGGCTGGAGAGGGTGACGGTGCTCGGGGCGGCGGGCGCGGCGCCGAGGGCGGTGAGGGTGAATGGGGCGAAGGTGGGGAACTGGACGTTCGATGCGGGGGTGGAGAGGCTGGTTGTGGGCGGTCTGGGAGTTGATTTGAACGGGCGCGTGGTGGTGGAGTGGGCTTAGCTAGGTACGTGCGTGTGCCTCTCGGAAGGGTACCGTGAATCAATTTGGGTGTCCGTATGACCTGCGTGCGACGTCCGTAGCGAGATGCGGAGCGCAGAAAGCGCCGTCGACGACGTTCGCTCTACGAGAACGAAGTGCGAGGCTGAACTGCCTCGCAGGCTTGGCCGGCACCTGCGGGCTTTTATTGTGGCTTTGGATCGTGTCATCCATTCTCTTAGCTACATGTATATGTTACACATTAGAGAGTAGTTATACGAATACAACTCTATCGAGTGTATGTTTCTCTTCCTTGGCCAGTACAAATGATTTCCAACGTCTTTAACCCACTCAGTCGTGACTTACATATATCCCAGAGCAGTGAAAAATCCATAGTTTCATAGTCGCCATACCTGTCGATGCCGTCGTAGATGGAAATTTCTTCTTGGTCGAGATGCAAACTCAATATATGCATGGACGTTAGCGGTACCAGGTGCTCCACAAGCTGCTCCTAACACCTGTTTTCAGCCAGCAGGCACATGATACGACGCATCAACTCACAAACGCTTGAGGAGACTGTGGTGCGTGATCCGTGTACTCGCGTGGCTCGCGATGTAAATCGACAGTGTCCAAACGAGGAAAGGTTTGTACGAGGTAGTCTAGAAGTTGTCCCTCATTGGCGTCGACTTCGTAGGCAATAGAAAGCGACTTGAGGAGGGGGAGATCGAGTTTCTGAAGTACTTGAAGCGCCCGTGGAGGAAGAGCGTTCTGATCGCAAAGTCATCAGCAAAAGTCCAGTTTGCTTGCGTTTGCTTGGCGGACTTGAAAGCCCGGGCCGGCAGGGGCGAGCTTCGGCCGAACCACGCGCCCGCGCAATCCACTCAAGCGCGTGCAATCCAAGTGGCGTCGTGGGTTGGCTTGTGGTCCCTTGCGGGCGATTGGGAAATTCTCAAGTGTAGGCAGTGGATTGGTGGTATTTTGGACTCTCCGAGAGATTAGGCGTCTATTGGACGCGTCAAGCGCGGCCGCCCTGGGCCCCAGCGTCCGATGCGGCTCCGAAGTCTCGTCTTCTCCACCGTCTTCCACCACCACCCTCCAACCCTCTTTATACTTTCACCACCAACCTTCTGCCTCACTTCATGCAGCAACCGTGACGTGACATACTCGCAAACAGAGTCCGGCACCGTGAGCTCTGCCATGCCGCAATACTCGGGACAATTCCGTCCGAAGGTGAGATTTTAAATGCCCTGTTGCGTACCCCTTCCCTTCTACGTCTCCACGATGGAGTCCACTCTGTGCCTGCCTGTAGTGAGGCGACGCTTCTGGGTGATGATTGTCCGGAATCGGCAGAGCGTGCGGCCAACAGCGTCCTTCCAGGGCAGCTCAAGCGGCGCTCCTCTGATTCCGGACGACATGACCTGTTGGGTCAACTCTGGTATGCATGTGCAGAGGCGTCGTTTTGTTCCTGTGTACATGATCTCCTAGCCGCTCACTGACTCCGATGCCAATCTGGCCATACAGGAATTTTGTGCGGCACAGCAGCATGAGTCGGAGCAGAAGACATCCGGAAGGTGAGTTTCCTCCCATTCTTCCGCGCCTCCCATGCGTGGCTGACGCAAATTCAGCGCCCGAGCCTGCGCGAGCTTCGGTTGTTCGCGCAGGGTTTACCGTACATCAAGTTTCCGACTTGTTTAACCTCTTCGACAGCCCTTGCGATGCGCCTGGAGATCATGAAGGCGAATCGGGCACCGTCCTGGCCCGACGTTTCGTGCATATATCCTACAGTGCGCTCGACAACGTTCGAAGGTGCGTGGACGCACATAATGCGCCGGAAACAGACAACCTCAGGCGCGGCCTGCCGTCACTACGATCTAGTTCCCCACCGTGACGATCCGCGACGCGTCTGGCCCCTCTCAGAGCGGCCCGCTGCTCTGTTACTAGTCATGGTGCGGTCATCCACATCGCGCATATTCTCCCCTTGCATCGCCATGTTGACCGCTCCGGCCTCGCCCTTATCTGCACGATAGAACTGCCGCATGTATATAGTACAGTGAATTCACAATGACAGATGTATCATAAACGGTCAAATCCTGCTGCGCCTGTCTCAAATTCATCGACACCCATGATATCTTCTCCGTCCTCGGGCCCCAGATCTGCCCCCCGGCTTGCCTCGTCATCGTCTTCACCGTCGCCGTTGCCATCGTCATCGTCGTCACTGTCATCATCGTCACGGTCCTTTCCATCCTCAATTCCATACCCATAGTCTACGGCCTCGTCAGTCTCACTTCGAGCATCACGGTCGTCGGCCTCGGCATGCTCAGCGTCATCAGCCTCGCGTTGAGCTTCGTTGGCTGACGGGCCTATGAGAGTCTCTCCGTCCTGTTCACCGGCGTCTTCTACGAGCTGCTCGTTGTATGGAATGCTGCAGTGTTGATGTCCGACGCCGCCACCGAGATAGCGCATGAACATATCACGGTCGGCGAAGCTGCCAGGAAGTCACGAGTACTTAGCAAGGCCGCAACCGTGACACTTGGCAGTCTGATTTGGTGAACTCACATGCCAACATGATAAGCCTCGTAGTCCATGTCGTTGTCGTCGTGCCTTGCCAGACTGTTGCATGGTATAGGGGAGGCGTTGTCCACACCTGAGTGAAAGGAAGGGATGATGTGTGCAGATCGAATGATGTCCTCGGGGTATATGAACCCGAACGGCTTGGAATCGAGGGGCGCCCATTTCAAGCAGGGAAGTCGACGAGATGCAAGCCCAACTCGAGTGCGGCGAGGTGAGGAGTCGGCCTCATACCAACGGACCCAAACCAGAGGGACAAGCTCAGGCTCCGTGTCGTCGGCTCCTGAGAGAGATTCCCCAACAAGGTAGGCATTGACATGATACAGACCGATCACCCGTGCATAAATGTACGGGTGACGACTGCCTTCGGGAGCTAGAAGCATGATGTCAGGATGTGTACGAGGGTTTATTGAGTCCATGTCGCGGCGCATGTCATATGTCGTGTAGTTGATGCGGAGGACTTTGTGCACATAGAGTCGGTCAGGGCCAGCAATGCGAACAGAGCGCACATCCGCAGGGGTGGGCTCATAGCTGCCAGGGAGGTTACGACCAGCGTGTCTTGCAGACAGCACGGAGAAGACGTGGGTCTTGAGGTTGAGCTCGAAATCCTGAACACAGGTTTCGTCATTCAAGAACGCGGGAGGTGAGACAGCCTGTTACATACCTCACTTGCCGGATCGTTAGTGTTCCCGCTCACAAACTCATGGAGATCAACCGGGAAGTGTTGATCGTCCGACATGTGGTAGCGTTGCTTCGGACTGGATTGGGAGAGAGGCTGATGTTGCGCCTGCTGCAGCCGGATCTTGGATTGCCGCCGCTTTTCGTCTGCCATGGCAGCACGCTTCTGTCCCTGACGGCGACGAGATCGCGCACGAGCCGCGGCGTTCGGGACAGATGCGAGCTTGTGAAGGATGGCCTCACGGCGCACTTCCGCACCAAGCTGCTGACCGAAGGCACGGTTCTTGTTCGTGCGGCCATAAAACTTCTTGACACGGCGATGCTCTTGTTCTCCCTAGACGAGAAGCGTAATGAGCGTCATACATACTAAACAAGAAGATGGTATTACGGACCGTCTGGGTGGTGGTATTGTCAGTGGTGCCGAAAATACGTATGATGATCACATAGTCGCCGAGCCGATGATACTTGTAGGTGTTGAGGTTGAACTCCTTCCGCTTCGGCCCAGGTGCCGTCTTGGATGCAGTTCTACCAGGCTCCTGAGCAGTGGTGTCCGAGGTTGATTTTGTGGCCTTCTTGCGTGCTCTAGCAGCGCGCGACTGCGTCTCTCGTGGGAGCTCCTTGGTGACGTACTGAGAGCAAACATCACGCTTAAACTGCCGCATTATTTGCCCGAGAGATCGAGTTGATGCTTCGAAGATCCTCAGAGTGGTCTCCGAGTGCAGACGAAGCTTTGCAAGAGAGTGCCACTGGCAGAGCTCAAAAAGCATCACAGAGACGATAGTTTCGTGCTCTGGGTCGGCTTCTTGTAGCAGTCCTTCAAAGGCAGGTATAGCGCACTATCCGGAAGGCCGATCAGCGCCACAAGATAGAGACATTGTAGAGTGAGGACATACCTTCAATATCTGCTCGAAATCGCGTGCCGCTAACTTCTTCATAGCAGATGTATTCCGTGTGAAGGGTCGAATAGTACTTCGTGCAAAAGACGGAATGAGTGCGTATCTGCAAATGTAATGTTAGTGTTATTGGTTTGGTGACTGTGCCCGCGCTGTGCTCCGACCACGTGCAGCCTGCAGAACGTTGGCGTGTGCCTGCCCCATCCACGAACAAGGTATACTTGAAGTGCACGCTCGCCGTGACCGATGTCTCGAGGTAGTATGGCAGGCACGTGTCACGCAGGACGTGCTGAGTTGAGCATGTCCCACGTGCCGCCGTGACACCACTGGGTGCAAATCGCGCATCGGACACGCTCGAGTGTGTCCCCCGCTGGCACGAAGTAGTACAGCGGGCATGCGTCGCGTAGGATGTGCTCGGGTGTGTCGTGTGGGACGTGCTTGAGTGTGTCCTCTGCTGGCACGAGGCCCTCAGGCGTCACGCGTGTTGCGTAGGACGTGCTCGAGCATGTCCTGCATGACACGCACCTCGTGCAGAGTTGTGCAGGACATGCTTGAGTGTGTCCACCGCTGGCACGAGATACGACAGGCACACATCGCATAGGACGGCATGCTCGAGTGGCATGTCCCGCACACCGGGCGCATGTCCCACAGGACGCGCTTGAGCGGGGCACAACCCTGGCCACTGGCACAGGCAACTTGGAAGCCACAAAGGGGACGCACACGCGACAGCAGTGGTATTGATTCTGATGCAGCAATTCATATGCACGCACCTTTTATCCAGTCTTTGCACTGCTGATTGAACCTCGCACGCGAAGAGGATGCGGAGGAGGTGAGTGAAGGTGGCTTTCCAGACACCGAGCTCGAACTCGTGCATGAGATCTGGGACGAAGAGATCGTAGACGTTGAAATCAAAGTTATCGTCACCGGCAAATCGAACGGAGAATGCGCTCTTCAAGAATTTGGAGATGAGCATCAGAATGAGAGGTATGTGTCAGTGCGTACCTGAGTGGGCTGAGTAGATGTTGTAGCCAGCTCCTTCTTCACCTTGATGCGCTTGCTTTCGGGTGTATCACCGTCGCGAAAGATCCACTCGCGCACGGTGCCGATGGCTCGGCGAAGTGGCGACGAGTCTTTGCGTGGCTTGGACTGTCGGGCGGCCATGTCGCGGATGGTCCCCATCTTGTCAATATCGCTCTTCTTGACAAGACAGCCAGGACACGGAAACTCGCCCAGGAACTTCATGCATGCAATAACACCAGATTGCCCCACAATCACTGAAGGACTCGCTTATAAGTGTGACATAAATCCCTGATGTATTCGCTTATTTGCCCTCATTTGAGCTGGTGTTCAGTTACTGATGTTCTTGCTCATTTGAGCCATTCATCAGTTCTTGATAGATCTACTCATTTGAGACGTTCCTCAGTTGGCAGTACCTTTGTTCAAATGAGACCCATACACATTTTGATATAGCAAGGCTTGTATCAAATGCTAATGCTTCTTGATCATTTGAGCTAAGCTGGTAACTGACTGATTGGCTTGATTGAGCTACACTATTTATTGAGACTACTAGTCATTTGAGCTAACCTAGTCACTGACTGCTTGGCTTGATTGAGCTAAGTCAGTCACTGATTGCCTGGCTTAATTGAGCTAAGCTGGTTGCCGGTTGCCTGGCTTAATTGAGCTAAGCTGGTTGCCGAATACCTGGCTTGATTGAGTTGTTCCTGTTTCTGATGGCTGACCTTGATTGAGCTGTTCTAGTTTCTGATGGCCTCGCCTTGGTTGAGCTTCTATGATCACTGGGAGGTTAGCTTGTTTGAGACTCTCTAGTTGGTGAAACACTAGTGATTTCTCAACAACTTCTATAGCCACCTGGTCGTGAGAAAACCTTGTGCCTGTAGTTAAAACCATGGGTCCATCATTTTTCACAGGTCTCTTTCACTTCACACTCTACTCTCACAGACAGATCGATACTCTTCCTTACTAGGTTTTCTGCCATGCCTACTCTTTTATCCTTCTTTCATGGATGCACCATTAGTATGGTTGGTGTTGTTGTCTCTGTATGTGTTATGTTTATCACACTATATCAATTTGCTGAGTTACTCTCATAGATTGATGAGGACAAGGACATCATGTATGTCAATACTGGACCAGTGGTTGGTCTGAATTGGGTGGAGAGGAATGAGGAGGCCTTTTTAAGTTCGATGAAGTTGGTGAATACACCTTCTCCTGTGGAGTTGCTAGATGTGAGTTTCTTAGTGCAGAAGTGTTGCCCCTTTACTGATCCTTGAATAATTCTTAGGACATCTTCTATGAGGTTGGAAACAAAGTCTTTATAAGAGGCATCATTGGAGAAGATGGCATTTTACATGCTGAAAAAGATGAACTCTGTAAAGATGGTCAGAGCTTCCTAAATTCATATTGATCTTTCTCCTTACTGACTGCTCTATTTATAGATTCCGCTTTGAAGGCAGTCATTTTTAACCATGGTTTATGAATAAAGTACAGCTACTGTGCCTCTTCTGATTAGTCAGAACTTCCCAATGTTTCAAAATATGTTTCAACTTGATTCAAGAGCTATTGCACAGTCAAACATATTGTAGCCCCAGGCAATCAGAAACATGCCTTGAAAAAGTCTCTCAAGTGAAGTTTTTTTTTCCGTGAGAACAAAGGCACAGAAAGACAGATATAGGTTTTTTTAGGGGGGGGAAGAAATATGGGGAAAAGTGAAAATTTGACAAACTTTTGGCTCACAAAAATATGAAAGGTTTAGGGGCAGAAAAATAGAAGGCAGATCTTCAGTATTTTCTTACATTGATAATAAGTCCAAAAAAGTCTCAGGACAGAAATGATGTTTTCTTGTAGAGAAAATGAGATGTTCTTACATAGTTGAGGCTTAGAACTGCTCTCTCATAGAAGAGACCAACTAAGAAACTAGTGTTGATCTTTTGCAAGATTCTTTTGAGAGAAACATTGAAAAATGTTTTTGTCCCTTCATCAGTGCATTGTTGTGTGAACTGCCTAGAGGCTCTTTTTGTTATTATACCAAGGCCAAGGGTGATCATGGTAAATGATTGTAGTTCAGTTTGGGAAACCAAAAGAGTTTTAGTAGGCTTTTCATTGAAAGTCTTCTGGACTAACATTGAGAGGCATCAATTTTTGGGACCACTATTTGAACATAAAGACGGAAAGTAGAATTAGGAAGGCCTTCTCAGATTTATTAAAAACATAGACATGATTGATTCAAGTCAACTATCTAAAGCTGATAATGAGGGCATTTCTGAACAAAGTCTCTATGTGCATTCTCGGCAAGCTTCTCCCAAGTAGCTGCCTGACCATAAGCATATACTTGATGTCCATGAAGTCCCTCATCATCCAGTCTGGTAAGCTGTGCCCTAGACTTCCACTCCTCAGCCTTATTCTTGTGGGATCTGACAGTGCATGCCATCTCGAAAGGCACCCACAAGAGCTCCTCTTCCCATCTGCATTTTCGTTCATAGGCTCTAAGCCACATAGACTTTTTGACTTCACTTTGGTTAGTAAAGATCCAAAACTTTATAAAATACTCCACTTACTTGATTGAACAAAACTAGCTCTTTCCTCTATCCCACCAGAAAAACTCCAGATCCAAGAACCATGTTCATTTCTTAGCCCTGAAGTAGATGGTTCCATCAATACGGGGTTGGCCTTCAGGTCTTGACTTGTCAGTTCAGGATATAAATCCATTCTTGCACTATGGGCCTTTGTATCTTCTTCATCCTCTTTGTCATATAGGTTGAATAAAGATTGTCTAGCTCCAGTGTAGAACCGAACATGTCTCATAAGCGCTTCACTTGCCACTTGAACATCTTTTTGAGATCTCAGCCTAGTTCTGTAGGATGATGGATTTTTGACCCTTCCTTGATAGAGATAGGTTCTTGCCACTATTCCCTCTCTAATAGCTGTGATGCAGTCATTCATCTCGGCTACTCTGAGCTTGATTTCTTTTGAACCAAATCTACCCGTTGGATTTTCTTCATGTACGGAAAACCTAAGGTAGAGGGCATAGCAGCAGGCTGTTTCTCTGGATTCCATGGCTCTTCTGAGATTGTTGTGAGGTTGCTGTGGTTGGGGATTTCCTGTTGTCCTAAAAGCTCATCCTGTGCTATTTCTTCCTCATCATCATCCCAAGCTTCTCCAAGACTTGACACCCCTGGTAGGCTTTCAAGAATTTGATACCCTTCCAGGTT